GAATCCCCGGAAGCCTATTGCAGCATAACAGAAAGTGTGCTTCGGATGAAGCACGAGAAGATTGTACTATGAAAAAAGAATGTATTTAAAAGTTTTTAATTTGCTAAGCAAATAAGCTACTCAGAAACACCACTGTGTTTGAGCAGGAACAGGAAGTGATAACAAACACCTCAGTGGCTTCAAGCGTAGGCTTAACCTCTACAGGTGTCTTTACTGAAATATTCTTGATAGATGTAAGACCCAAACTCCAGGCTCATTTTATGTAATAACTGAATTCTGCCTGATTGCTCTCCCATTAAAAAAGGCCTTAAGAAAGCTCACCTGTGTCCCAGGATACTAGTCAATGTCAACCACTGTACTATTGAGAGCATTCTCACCAACGGCATATCAGTGTAGTACAACAATTTTACCACAGATGGTTAAATAACACTAAACCAGATGGTAAAAAAAATTGCCCAATGTATCACTGGCACTCATTTGGCCAGCACAGCCCACTGAATGGTCATTAATCAATGGGCTTTGATTAGTGCTAGTTGATCAATGGTCATGACAATTTGCAAATTAATGATCAAGGAACTGACCTCACAGCTTATTGTTCATTCAGTGGACTAGTTTCAGTCATTGTGCAAATGTACTGTTTATAAGGTTGGGGAAACCTGCAGTCAGCTGAGACTAAAGAAGTCACTTGGATGAGTGACGGTTCTCCCACTGAAAGCACTACGTCCAGATCAACAGAATCAACCTTTTGGGATATACTTACCTGGATGATTGAGCATGCATCAAGATACCCGTTTCTTTATTTGCAAGTTCACCATATAATTGATTTGACAGATTTTTACACAAAAGTTAACTTTTTTACAAAACATGTAAACCACAACATTATAGAGCTAAAGAGTCTCCTCGAAAAAAGAAAGAAAAAACATAAATCCTATTAAACAAGTTAGTTTAAGAAAATGGAATATGACCTGATATTGACTTATTGAGTTCTTTTGCAGCACCAAATATCAATAAGATTCACTTTAACTTCCATTTTGAATCCCCCTTCAGTTTTCTGTAGACAACCCATACTAGACGCTCCTTTACAAAATCAAGGGACCCTGTGGTAGAACTTGACCTAAGTGGCTAAAGAAGGGCTGGAGACAGATCCTGTCCAGTGTAGTGAGCGATTTATTTACCATTTTTGTGACCAAACAATATTGACAAAAATAAATAAGAAACTCAACTCCATAGTTAACTCAGTTCAAATAAACATAACTGAATTTTTTGTGGACCACACTCCCTTTCCTTTTTTTAATTCTTTCACTTCTTATTAGTACATGGCCCAAGAGTTGCCACCAGTCCACTCTGAGGCCTTCCCCAAACCTCAGCTCAATTCATGTTTAAGCCTTTTGCCTTTATCGATAAAAACACTGTCAAATATAAAATGAGGACGTGGGCCCAGCTAGCGAAACAATAATGGTCACTGAGTTTTGTCCTTACAGTTTATCCTCAGACAAAAAATGATTAATCCTGAGGGCAAAACATTCAAACCAGTCTGACAAAGAACCAAAAACAGTTGCATCCTTATCCCCAGGCCCAGGTTATGATGCCACAAGAGCAATGCCTTTTCTTCTTTTCCCCACATTATGACTAAGATGATCAACAGCGACCCTCAGGACCAGTAGCGGTTTTAGATACGGGCGACACCTGCGGTTGCCCGGGGCGGCATCGTGGTGGGGGGCGGCATCACGGGCATCGGCAAAAAAAAATGCTCGTACTCATGCTGCCCCGACGTCAGCCAGCGCATATTGGGAATGGCATAGGCACCGATTGGTTTTCTATCGCCCATTTGCTGGGAGTAAGAGCAAAGACTGTGCAGTGAAAATAAAGTGTTAAACAGTAAAGAAGAGTCGAATAGAGATTTAAGTGGTATCAACTCGGAAATAGATCCAGTTTAAAGCATCGAATTAAGGCAATGAGTAGAAACTTAGCTCTAACAGAAATCGGACACGCATTATAAGAACGTTTGTATTAGTTTTAATACTCCATTGAAATATTATATTTACCGTTAATTAACTTGAGGAAGCGGTGTAGTCAGGGCGTTCCTCCTGCTGTTGTCCGAGAGACGACAGATGCATCTCCGTTTATTTCCTACTGCGCCTAGTAACTGATTTTACTACCTCGCCCGCAACGCGTAGACGGAAAAAAAACACACAGAAATAATGGCTTGTGGTGTTCTGTGTATCACGTCGCACTCGTTTCCTTCGCGATATCTTTTCAGGCAGTAACTACTTTCATTTTACACGAATATTTTATATTTTACTCCACACTTCTGGGTAGATTTTGATGACGTTTATAATATATTTGAGTGGATTCTAGTGCATTTAAATTGTGTCAGTCCATTGTAACTGTGTTCTCATAGTGCAGTGCATTACAAAAATGACATTTTACATATCTGTGGTAAGATTTTGAACTGTTTTGAACAGATCAGCAGAAGTCAGGCAAAGATCGTCTTATATAACTGAATGTTTAAAAAAACAAAAATCCACTCAAATCACATAATCATGTGCATAATATTCCTATTTTTTAACTGTAACTGTGGTTTTGTAACAGGAGGTACAATAACTTAATTGGATGCTTATTCAGATTGACCGACGCTGTCATGGGCTAGGTCTGTGACCCAGTGTTTGAGTTCTTATATGTATCTTTTGTATTCATTTGTGCCCTAGTTTAGCTCACCTAGTTAATTTCTAGATTGCT